TACTCTGCAGCACCGCATTACGTACCTAATTACTCAGACTCCTAGCTGTCGCCGTCGCCCTGTTCAACACTTCACTGGCCCACTGCGACGCCGTCACTGTCGTCCAATGCCTGTGCGTCCTGAGTGATCACGAAGATTGGACAGAAGCAAGAAGAAGTCACTGAGATCACAAAATCGATCGTTTGTCTCGCGCGAGCTTCTCGTCCAAGTCAGTGCATGCGTTCATGTAAATGAGCGTCGGAGTGGAGCAATAGATACTGAGACAGAAGCCGCCAAACGGGGCCACAACCAAACCTGAGATGAAAGCAAATCCAGTAGATGCTGAGCTACAGGCACACCTAACACTGATCGAGTGTGTGCTGAAGATCACCACGGAACCAACGGGTCATGCTCGCCCCATCGGGTCCTGTTCGACAGTTCCTAAGATCCTCCGCCAAACGCAAGCGCGACCCCGAGCGAGAGTGACCTTTGCTGCGCGGCTTCCGGGGGAGGCACGGGGGGGAAGGGGACAAAGCCAAGCGCGCAGGGCGCCACTGTCGCACCGCGCCCGGCGATCGGGGGACCCCAGTGGGCCCGCACCAGAAGGTCACTCTGGCGCCGGGTCACTCTGAAGTCGATCAATCGACCCTGAGATCCAGACGTGGCAACCTTCTGAATCAGGGCGCCAGGGGCTCTCTCGCTCCACGGCGTGCGCGCGCGCAGGCTTCTGGATCGGGGCGAGGCGCCGTGCGGCGGAGCCGCGCGCGCAGAGCTGTGTGGCAACTCGCGGGGGCCTCTTGGCTCATGCGAATCGACGATAATCGACGCGTCCTCGGGGCGAAGCCGACGCTCATTGGCGCGGGTCGACGCCGACCGACGCCATCTCATCGATTGCCAGATGCTGGTCGACGCGAGCGAACTTGAAAGACGGGGCCGCGAGGGCACACGAGGATCACATCATCTGCTACCGAACGACCCGCTGCTTCTGACAGCCCCAGGGCCCCGGGCCCGGCGCTGCGAGGCCGAGCGCGGCGGCAGACCTCAGGACCCCCCTCCCCTCAGCAACCGAGGGGCAGCGACAGGGGGGGGCGTTCGAGGGTTCGAAGGTCAAGGCCTCCAGACGTCGCCAAGGCCCACCTGATGTGCAAACGAAAGAACCCTGAGACGGGGGCATCGCGAATCTAAGTATCGTTGAACCGATCTCCATCCCCAGCGGCGTGGCCTGGGCCCCACCGGTCGATTCACCCCCCTAGATGGGGATATAGGCCGTTCACTTCAAATTTCGAGGGGTGTATCCCCAACTGGGGGGTAATTTGGTGGGGTCTCGAAAGGGATGGAGATAGGGATGGGGATCGGAGAAAACGATACCGAGAGACTGGGGCGTCGCAAACCCTGTCGGCACATGCCAGAAGACCAGACACGGCCTCGGTACCAGCGAGAGCCCGCGGGCGAGCCAGCGACACGCTGCCCCGACCCCGGCTTCCTCTGACGTCGACCCACGAGGACACCAGGAGGCCCCAGAGGGCTCGAAGGGACGGCCCCCCAAAGCCCCAGAGGACGGCCCCCAAAAGCCCCCAGAAAGACGGCCCCCAGAGCCCCCGCAAGGAACGGCCCCCAAGGCCCCAAAAGTCCGCCCCCCCAAAAGCCCCTGAAGGACGGCCCCGAGTCTCCCAGACGATCAAGCCCCGCGGTCGTACGGCGCATTGGCAGGTCAGAAGTTACGCAATTACGAATTCACGGCGCAACGCTGCGGAGGGAGGGGAAAGAAGGCGGGAGGAGGAGGAGAACAAGGAGGGGGAGGAGGGGAACAGAGAAGCCACATTCAGATGTCTGGCAGAAGCGCATAAGCGCAAGGTGCCCATTGCTGTTCAGGCCTCCCCCTGCGTCGTCGGTGCGCCCATGTTCTGAGCAGGTCGGTGCCAAGTTGGCAAGTTAACAACAAACTAAGGGGGTCGTCTCTAGGCAGCGCTGCGATTTTCCTGCATAGCGCTGTCTGGCGCCCGCGAAGTGTAGAGCTTAGGGGGCGTTGTCCTGTCCGCTCCAGAACATCTCTATTGGACACTCGTGAAACATATACGCTAGACATGCTTAGAGCTTGTCGTAAACATTGCGCGCAAAAGCTGTCTAACATAATTCTGTCTGCCTGAAGCAGCCATAGTGCTTCCAAGTTACGCAGCAACTGCGGCAAAACAATGTATGTTTGCATCTCGGTTTTTTTATGGCGCGACTTATGCATTCGTGGGACCAACGCTTAGACAGATTCATAAGTGCGGCCTTGGCTTCACCTACTCTCCTGGTCACTTCAGGCGTTGCTACACATTTGACGCTTAACGAGCCTCAAACATATACTGCTCGCTCCACCGCTTTGAATGGGGCTCTTGTCGGGGAAGAGTCACGCCGTCATTGAGCACGCTCCCAGACGGCTCCCAAACAAGAAAAAACAACACCAGATCGGGAGACCGGATCGGATCGCAACGTGCATCGAATCCATGCCGCATCAGCACGGGATCGAAATCGAGTCGGATCGGCTGCGCCAGGATGCACAGCAACGCCGTGCAAACATCGGGCCGCATCGAATCGCCCGAAAGTCGGAATCGAATCGAATCGAATCGAATCGGGCCGGCTGGAGCTGATATCGGATCGGATCCGTCGGGTCAACATGCACTCCGGAGTCCATAGCAAAGTGGGGGGGTCACATTTGGGGGGGGGTCTGGTTTGAGCTGTCTTGGAGGGTTCGGGGGGGGGTCTGGGCAAAGGGCCGCCCTTTCAGTGATGGTCGGGGGGGCCTAAAACTTCTCGTCTGGGAGGGTTGTGACCCCCTCCCTTTCATTACGAAATCTGGAGTACCCTGCAGAGGCCAACCAGGATCCCCGGCAGGCCCAAAAGATACCCCCAAGAGGCATCGCCTGAGAAGACGCAGCGCCGCGACCGTACCACCGCGAAGCGCTGGTGCGCAGGCTCCCTGGGCGCGGTGGCAGGCGTGCGCGGCAGAACATCTGGATTCTGATCTTGTCCGAAGCCATGCGCTCACAATGGACTCCTGGACATCAACGCCAACACCATCCTACGTCAGGTTCGTGCCGTGCCGACTTCGGCGTTGGTTTGTGACACAGCGGGGATCGATCGGCCTTGAACGATCGGCCGTTTCCGAAACGTCCAAATCGTTCCACATCGAACGATTCTGGGTCGCCCGCGGCGTTCAACGTTGAACGCTTCTGGCGGGGTCGCCGCCGGTCGACACGACACGAACCTACCGTACTGATCTTGCCCGAAGCCACGCGCTCGCATTGGAGGCCTGGACACAAACGCCAACACAAGTGGTAGTCCTACGGCAACCTAGGAAGTCCGCTTCCTGGGTGGAGGCACAGAGCCGGTATAGGCGTTGGTGTCAACCTCTTTAGGCCGCCGATCGTACTCCATCTTCTGACCTGCAAGTAGCCCTGTCTGCGTACTCCAGATTCCGTAATAAAGGGAGGGGGGTCTCATTTCGGGGGGGGGGGACTCTTCCAGGCTATCTTGGAGTGCCTGGGGGGGGTCTGGGGAGGATGTTTTGGAGGGTTCTCCCACGGGGGAGGTCTGAAATGGCTTGTCTTGGAGGGTCCAGACCCCCTCCCTTTTACGAAATCTGGAGTAACAGGAACGGCGCTCTCGTGCACTCTGGGGCCACCTCCAGCAGCACCCGCACACGGGGGCGCAGGGGAGCAGCGTCCCGTCCACGGCGCCACTCCAGTGGCGTCGAGCATCGAGGGGCAACGATAGGGGGGGGGGACTGGCAGAGGGGTGGCAGCATCGACCTGGGATCGGCGATGCACCGCCTGTAGATCGGCAAGGGTCCCCCGATAGTGCACCCGCACGTTCGTGGGCAGGTCGGGGCTGTCGGGCCCCTATCGACGATCAGTGGGCGATTGGGGGTCGATGCGTCACCCCCAATGCCTGCCCCATCCCCCCCCCCCAACGTTGCCCCTGAAGAACCGAGGGGAAACGAGGGGGGCCCAGACATCCGGCGCTCCGAGCGTGTCGTTGCGTGGATCCCTCCTGGAGGTCTGGACCACTTAGCTAGGGCCGGCTTTTGGTCCCTAGCCGCCTCTGACGGTCCCGGGGCCCGTCAGGGCCCCTGGAGGCCGAAAGCTGTCCACAAACTGCTGCTCCGAATTGTCCTGACCTGGGCCATCAATAAGCGCTTTGGGGCTCGAGGCATCCCCCCCGATCCTCAGATTCTCCCCCCGCCTCGCTGCCTTCCTGAAATTGAGCAGGGACCGACCGTCCCGTCATTCCTATAGGCCTACCACGTTAGAACCCAACCATATTCTAAGAGCAGACCCATGTTCTTAGAAAGCAAGCCCGATGAGTTGACACAAGACAGCTTCAGCCAGACATGTTCCAGGAACTCTTCGTGCAAACCACAGCATGTCCTCAGAGCATGCCCTGGTGGGCCTGAAGGCGAGCCGGGACGCTTCGCCGCCGCTTCACAGATTCGAGCCTCCCGCTGCCACGCTGCCCTCCCGGAGGGCGCCCCGCACAGACGCAGCAGGCTCGGCTCGCGTGCGCCCGGCCCCCGTGCGCCCTCCGCCGGCGTGCGTCCGCCCCTCTCCTCCCCCTACAGGCCTCCCAGCTGGGGTCGGAGTAGATGGAGTCGAAGCACCGCGCCGAATCGCCGATGCATCGGCGATGCGTCGGCGATGCAGCGGCGATGCAGCGGCGATGAAGTGTCGACGTCGGCTATGCGTCGGTGACGTCCGCGTGGAGAAGATCGGGCTCCACGTCGAGCCGCATCGTCGATGCATCGGCGATGCGGCGCGATCCTCCGACCCCATCTACTCGGATTCGGGGGGCCCTCAAGAGCCCCCGGGGGGACTCGGGAGGAAAAGCCGGCCCTGGGGAAGTGCTCCAGACCTCCAGGGGCCCACGCATCGAACAAATTGGACCGCGGGATGTCCGAGCTTCCAGCCCTCGGCGGGGCGCACAGAAGCGAGACCCCACCCTGGACGCATGAGCTGCGGAGAGCGAGGGCATGGGCGGGCCTCTTTCTCTCCTCTTCGATCTTCCGGACCTGCTCTTCGAGCTCCTCGACTTCTTCACATCGCCACTGTCAAACAGGAAAAAACATGAGCCCCAGCATGTGCCCACGGGCGCAACATATGATCATGACTAGCACAGCTGCAACGAACCTGACCAAACAAGATGATCCCAAGACTCGGGAGACAGGCCGTGCTGCCCAAAGCGTTCCCACTTTCGAGGAAGAGAGCACGGCAGCGAAGCAGTGTGAACCGATGGCGATTTCCTCGCGTGGGCAGGATCCGTCGGCATCCCGTCGGGACATCGGCTCGGATCGGCACGTGCGTCGGGTCGGGCTGCATCGGCACGGAGCCGAGATTGTGTCGGATCGGCTGCGCCGAAACGCACACGTGCGTCTTGCAAACGTCGGCCAGCCTCGGATCGTCGGAGTATCGGAATCGTATCGGATCGAGCCAGATGCAACGGATGTCGAGTCAGACCGATTGTATCGAAATGGACCCTGGCGGATGGTGATTTCCTCGCGTGGATGGGCCTTGACCCAAGTGTCAATCGAAGGGTCCGCGCAAATAAAGATGGAACAAGCCTGGCAGGGAGGAGCAGACAACCTCGGCGGATCTCACGACGAAGGCAGCGAAGAACGTCGGCAGAGCCAATCATCGACGAAGGCAACATCGGTCGTTCTGGTGAACACTAGGCAACAAAACTAACGATGACGACGGCGGCAGACAACAGCGAGCCCCTGGTGGAAAGGGAACTGTACATCCAAATCGATACTAGCAGGCGGACGTGATGGCAATCAAACTGCGCCGTCCTTGGAGCGCTCGGCTGCGGTCATCGCGCGTTCGTCTGCCATGACACGCTCCTGTGTCAGCTCGGCGGTCACCTGCCGCCGTGGCACCCGAAAGCTGCAGCAGCCAGATCCAATAAGGCACGTCTCGTGTTCAGAGGACGCGACGGCTTGGAGAGGATGCGGGCGCTCAAATCCCGCACACGATGACCTGGAAACTAGCAGGGGCAACACCATCGCCGCCAGGATAAGCAGCCTGACGAAGGACCCCAACACACGCGGCGGCGAGTACCGCAAGGCAGGTGATGCGAAGGAGGTGGGCGATCAGCCTAACCTCATGCCCGTGAGAATAAACACTAGGGGATAATAAAGTTCGGGGTTCAGGGAGAAATAATAAAAGTAGCCCAGCAGACCTCAGCATAATCTCGAAGTAAGAGATGATCAAGAGGAGACCAAGCCGAGCACGTTTTGAGACATCCTTGGCGTTTGGTTGTCATAGAAATATCCTCAACAATGGCTTATCTCTCATGAAAATGGTTATTTGTAAGTGCTCGTGTAGGGTAGCTCATGAGCCTCAATTTCCATGGATAATCAACCCCAGAGATAAAAAAATTCAGGCGAGCGTGGGGACAGAGAGAAATATAAAAGAAGAAGAATACAGTAGAAGAATAATAAGAAAGAAGAAGAAGAGGAGAATAAGAAGAGGACGAAGAAAGGAAAAATCCAAAGTTACAAATCTATCAATTTTAATGTACAAACGCTTTATGCAAATTGATGTTTTAAGTGCTCGTGTAGGGTAGCTCATGTGCTTCATTTTCCATGGATAATCAACCCCAGGGATAAAAAAGTTCAGGCGAGCGTGAGGACAGATAGAAATATAAAAGAAGAAGAGGAAAGTAGAAGAATAATAAGAACATTGCTCGTTTCGTTTGAGTCTGCCTCCCAAAATTATTGGTTTCGCTTGACACATCCTGAAAAAGTGTGATCGCTTCGCTTGATGTTGCTATATCAACATCGCTTGATGTTGCTATCTCAACATAGCGTTTCGAGGTGATAATGAAGTTCGGCCTCAGCGCTCGCCGCCCCATTTGAATTTTGTATAGGGCGACGATAATCAACTCTAAACACTGAAGGGGGGGTCCCTTTATTATCATCGGCATGCGGTTATGAGTTATGTACGACATGTCCCCTCCTCACAGGCAGCGTGCCCCAAAGGGAGGGAGCTCGAACCACGCGGGCGCTGCCACTGGAGCCGTCGGCGGAGCTCCCTTTGGGGCTACGATGCGCGTGGTGGGGGGGCCGCCGACTTGGGAGCGGGGCCGACATGCGGACCCCGCGACTGGGGCCCTCGGCAGAGTTCCCGGGGAGGGGCGTGCCGAAACGGGGCCGGGCCGCCGTGCCGACACTGCCACCTGGGCAGTCGTAAGGCCTTCGCGAGATCGGCGGAGCGAGGAGCAAACTGAAGCACGGTAACAGACACAGACTGGGCGACAGAACGGAGGCGCACGAGACGACGACAACGATCGATGCCGTGGAGAAGGCAGGAGGGCAAAGCCAGGCCGTGGGCCGCTGCGTGGCGGGTCGGTCGACCGTGTTGACGCGGCTCTGCAGCTCCACCTGCGTCATCTCAAGCTGGTCGCAGGCATTGGAGTAAGACTCCTGAGGCCGCACGGCTCCCAACAGGCCAACGGGAGGCGAGCAACTCGGACGGATGGCCCCGCGCTGGAGGTGAAGCCTGCTCACCGACTCAAAGGCGACACGTGCGTGTGGCACCGACGTGAACGACGACTCGGTTCCTGGATAACTTGGACGGCAAAACGGACCATGACAAACACCGAACGCGGAAAACGTCGGCGCCAATCTTGGTCAGCGTCAATATTGGCCACTGTCGGTTCGTCGATCTTCCTCGCGAATCGGCGGCGGCCCGCATGGACCATGACCAGGGTCAGCGTAGAAAAGATCCCGCGACATCGTGGTCATGGTCAGCGCGTCTCGTAGAGGAACAGAAACAGCATAGACATGAGATTTCGAAGCTTCGCGCGCATATCTTGGATCCTCGCTGAATCTCCAGCTTGGTCAGCTTTCTCTAAATATATTTTCTTTGGACTGATCCAGCTCAGACCCCTTGGGCCTTGGCCGCCTCCAAACACCACCTTCCCTAACGCCTGGCGCGCGGAGCGCCACAGGGGCGGCGCCGTAGGCGCCGCCGGGGGGACCCAGCGCTGATCAAAGAAATCTGCGAGGAGCTCCGAAAGTTTATGTTTAAGCCGTCTGTGCTTACGCTGACTGTCCCTTTCCTCGATAACTAAAACTCGAAACGAACACCGACGACGCCCACGTGGCCTCCGCTGCGAGTTTCAATTATAGGCAAGGATCGGCGGCGAGCCCGGGGGATAAGTGAGAAGGGGCGCGCCTTTTCAGAAAGCTCGAAAGTCACGCGGCCCTCTGCGAAATGTTCTAAGCCTTCCGCGAAGACACAGAGAAGCTTATCAGAAGGCCAGAGGGCTTCTGAGAAGCCCTGCCACCTTCTGAGAAGGCCTTCTCCTCCTCACTTTCCCCCCTCGCTCGCCGCCGACACACGGCTTAAACATACTCTTGAATCGGCGCTGGACCCCCTGGCGGCGTCTCCAGCGCCGCTGCTCGCGTCAGGTAGGGGGTCCAATCCGCCCGGAACTGCGAAGTGTGGGCTTATTTGGTTTTGAGGTCAGCGTTCTTTTCTCAGCGCCTGTATATGCTTGTGCCGTTCTTGGTTCTCGAAACACGCCCGCGTCCAAGACGAGGCCATGACAATCGCAGAGATCGGCACAGGGTACATCCGGGATCTCCAATGTCCACTGGTTACGTACTGGCCATCGCTCGGACGTCCATTCCCTGTGTTTTTTCTGTTTCGTGAGTGATTTTTTCGCCAAATGATCAAGGATGCTCCTCGATGATCCTCGCCGAAGGAAAAATGCACACGTCCGAGCGATGCCAAGCGTATGGAGGACCCTCGGGCGCCGCGGCTGCTCTCTGAGCGTTCAGGAGCGCTCTGTGAGAGCGCTCCAGCACGCGCTGGAGCGAGTTGTCCCTGCCCCAGGTCCCACATCGGACGTCCACGGAAACAGCGCCAACGTCAGGCATCCCACCACGTTCCACATCAGACGTCCAACATCAGACGTCCCGCATCAGCGACTTGTCTCTGCCCCACGTCCCACATCAGACGTCCGCTGTGACACCGCCCACATCAGGCGTCCCACCACGTTCCACATCAGACGTCCCACTTCAGACGTCCCACATCGGACGTGCGCTGCGACAGCTCCGCCCAGCCACGCCCCACATCGGACGTGCGCTGCGACACCCTGCGGGTCATCGCACAAGGGGCAGCGTACCGACGGGCTTCAGGGACGGCGAGATGGCTACATACGGCGCCCAGCGATGGAGCCCATCGGACAACAGCAGTGAGTGGCTTTGCGGGAGAAGTATCAACCTGAAATCGGCGATACAGCGCCGAGAGATCAGCGCCACGCCTCCGACAGCGACTCCGAACGGTCCTGGGCGGCGATACCTGGCGGACTGGGGGTCGATGCGTCCCCCCCTGAGCCTACCACTCCCGAGCGCTGCTCCGATGCAGCGAGGCGAAGCGAGACAACCCAAGAAACCCAGGGCACCCTGGAGGCAAGCAGGGTGTTTCTTGGCATGGGATTGCACTGTACTCGGGGGCGCGCCAACACGGATTCGCGATCCATGGATTTGGTTGGCGGCCGCCAAATCCATGGATCGGGGGAGGTGCCCTCCCCAAAATACGGCCGGTGCTGGCTTGCTCGGCGGCGGAAACCCGCGGTTTCTCATGGAAACGGGACCCGTCGCTAATCCACGCCCCCCTTGATCCATGTTTGCGATCGCCTGATGTACTTCACAACGGCCACTCCGAGCCTCTGGTTGACCCAAAAGGGGGTCCAGCTGAAATGGGATGGTGCAATAAGTTTGGGGCAATTGTATTGCAAATGTTTTGGGCCAGAGAATTGGATTGCATTGTATTGCAACTAACGAATTGCACGCGAAAATCCAGCAATACATTTGCGTCCCGGAATGTACTGCACACCCCAAATGCATTGCAACCCCACAAATCCATTGCACCAAATCTATTGCACCACTCCCTTCCCTTGTCGCTGGACCCCCTTTTGGGTCAACCCGAGAACTGAGAGGTGTCACCGAGCTCGAAGGCACCCCGACTGGGCCTTCTCTCGACTGCGGCTCTTGCACGGAATCACTGCTTCTGCTGTTGTTTCTGCTGTTGTTGATTCGTTGATGTTGGCGTTGTTATTGATGTTGTGGTTGTGGTTGTGGTTGTGGTTGTGGTTGTGGTCGTGGTCGTGGTTGTGGTTGTGGTTGTGGTTGTTGTTTTTGGTGCTGCTGCTGTTGTTGTTATTGGTGTGGCTGCTGGTGTTGTTGTTGGTGGTGGTGTTGTTGTTCTTGTTGGTGTTGTCGATGTTGATACGTGTGTGTGTGCTTGTTGTTGTGCTGTTGTTGATGTTGTCGTTGTTGCTGTTGATGTTGTTGTTGTTGGTGGTGGTGTTGTTGTTGTTGTTGGTGTTGTTGTTGTTGTTGCTGTTGTTGTTGTTGTTGCTGTTGATGTTGCTGTTGCTGTTGCTGTTGTTGTTGCTGTTGCTGTTGCTGTTGCTGTTGTTGTTGTTGTTGGTGTTGTTGTTTGTTGCCGTCGTCCCGCCAGCGACCCCGCCCGCGACCCACCCTGCGAGTCCCCCGCGACCCGCTCGCGACCCGCCCGCGACCCGCCCGCGACCCACCCGAAAAACACCCGCGACCCACGCGCGATCCGCCCGCGACCCACCCGCGACCCATCCACAACCCATCAGAGACCCACCCGCGACCCACCTGCGACTCTCCCGCGACCCACCTGCGACCCACCCCGCGCCCGCCCCCTCACCCTTATCCACAATTGCGGGATGCTACAGATTGCTTACACATACGTCCTAGAACCATCGCGCGCACTTCGCGCGCGCTCAGGTTATAGCCCAGGCCGGGGGGGGGCTGGAAGATCTTGGACAGCGCTATCAAGCACAGGCGCGTAACATAGTTCGTGCCTCCTGAGGGCCTCTTGGGAAGCATCTGGTGGGCTTCTGGGGGGTTCTCCGTGCTTCCTCAATTGGCTGTTGGAGGCACCTCTTGGGTGCTTCCTGGGTGGGCGTCTTGGGGCTTCTTGGGGTCCCTTGGGGGCATCGTCGGGGTTCTCTGGGCAGTCGGAAGGCGGTGTTCTGCAATCTGAAGCCGTCATTGCCCGCGTTGGCTGCGTGGAGGCCCGACTTGAGGCAACCTGGGGCCACATTGAGGCAATCCAGAAGCCTCCCGGGGGCCTCCTGGGGACAGTTTTGATGTATCGAGGGCGCTCTTGGGCTACCTTTGGGCCCCCTGTGCGTCTCCTGGGAACCTTTTTGGGCCTCTTGGGAGGCTTTTGGGAGCCTCGTCAGACCACTTGGGGACTCTTGGGGCCTCCTGAGAGCCTCTTGGGGCGGAAGGCTCTGCTGTTGGGATCGCGATCCCCTTCTTGGGCCTCTCTTGGGGCCGTCTTGGAGCCCTCTCGGGCCGTCTTGGGCGCCTCAGGCACCGTCTTGGGGCCGTCGTGGGCCGTCTTGGGGCCCTGTTGGAGGCCTCTTCGGCTATCGTGGAGCGGTCTTGGGGGCCTCTTGGGCCGTCTTGGAGCGTTGGGATGCCAAAAGGCTGAAAACTCGAAAATTCCGGTAAAAAAAACAACTAGGAAAACAAAGAGTTGTCTCTCTGGGCATTCTTGGCAGGCCTCTTGGACACTCTTCGGCCCTCTAGAGCTTCCTGAGGGCATCTTGGATCTGCGAGCCTCTCGGGGTGGAAGGCTCGGACTTTCGGTTCGTCTTACCCCTCTTGGGCCCATCTTCGGGCCGTCTTGGTGCCCTCTCGGGCCGTCTTGGGCGCCTCGGGCACCCACCTGGGGCACTCGTGGGCCGTCTTAGGGCCCTGTTGGAAGCCTCTTGGGCTATCTTGGAGCGGTCTTGGAGGCCTCTTGGGCCGTCTCGGAGCGTCGGGATGCCCAAAACCTCGAAAAGAAAACCAAAACACGCCAAAACCAAAATGAGTTGTGCCTCCTGTGGCCTTCGTGGGAGGCATCTTGGAAACTCTTCGGCCCACTGGGGAGCTTTTTGGGGCCTCTTGGGGCCTGTTGGGGGCTTCTCGGGGCCGCCTGCGAGCGTCTCGGGGTGGAAGGCTCGGATGTGCGGCTCGCATTGCCCCTCTTGGCTCCTCTTGGGGCCGTCTTAGTGCCCTCTCGGGCCGTCTTGGGCGCCTCTGGCACCATCGTGGGGCCCTCTTGGGCTGTCTTGCGGTCGTCTTCGAAGCTTCTGGGGCTCTTTTTTTGCTTCGGATCACCGTGAAACAAGAACTCCACAAGAAAGGCGCAAACTGAATCACGCGTCGCCCGAAGGGGCACACTTGTCACACACTCACGTTCGAAAATATCCCCCATGTTCACGCGAAGGTTGCCGTTGCAACTGACAACTCGGAGGAAGGAGCCTGGCCACTCGCCACCACGTCCGCCAGGGCCGTGTGTCTGGTACACGACGCTTGGGGAGTCATCGCGTCTTGATGGTCGTCTTCCCCCAGCAAGCCTCCGACAGCAAACCCTGATCGCCCCAGATGCTTCACATACACATTCAAGTACTGGATGCCTCTCTCCGTGCGTCCATGGACGACT